AGAGGAAATTAACAATGGTTGTTACATTGCATATTGTTATTTTCAAAGATATAGCTCAGCACAAAGACCCAAAGACCCTAGCTAGTACTGGGGGAAAAAAGATGAGTCTAAATCCTCATACTAATCTATCCCTTCCTTTTATAGCCTTTTTTTGTGGTACCAGAGATTGAACTCAGGATCCTGCACTTGCCAGGCAAGCGCTTATTCTACTGAGCTATCTCTCTGGCCCTTATAGCCTTTTCTTCTGTTATAAATTTCTTTAAAGTGTTGTCGATGCCCATTTTTCTCCATCATCCCTGATCTTTTTCAAAGAAGGGTAAACTAATTTTCATTGCAATCACTCTACTGAAATGCTAGTGTATTTAAGTGCTATGTTGCTGAAACAAAAAGATGCCACTACATCTCTTTCATATGGTAATTCCAGTCTAAATGATTAAGATAGAGTAGCTTTATTCTTTAACTTGTCCTTTTGGAAACAAACTTCATTCCAAGTAATTGCTCCAAAAGTCCCTAAGGTATTGTTGCCATTTGCAAGACTACAACTAGGTCCTTATCACATTTGAGTTTTATGTGGCTTAGAAGCAATAGGCACATCCATATTTCTTCTGGTCCAGACCTGAAAATGGTAAGAAAAATTTCTGGTCACAATTGATATCTAACTACAAAGGATGCTGGGATAGGCATTGTATCTCAGTAGCCATATGGCAGGGTATAGGGTTTTATTTTTATCATTATTATGATCATCATTATCATCATTATTTTAATGCAATTGTACGTTTTTATTGTAAAGAGAATAAAATTTTACAAACAATACAGAATTTCAAAACAAGGTGAGAGGAAATTAACAATGGTTGTTACATTGCATATTGTTATTTTCAAAGTAGTTGTTCAGATTACCAGATATAGGCATACAAAATTGATCAAACAATTAAGCATTCACTGTATTACTATTATTACTAATTGCAGAAAATGAGTATTTTAGACGACATCTGTCACAGTCCCACAAATCTGTCATCTTCTTAAATCTAATAGTTTTAATATTCAATTTTTATTGACTTTTCAAAAGCATATGCTGGTGTCACTCTTCCTCATTTTCTTGAAGTGGTATTTGCTTTTGGCTTCATTATTTGTAACTCTAGGAATCCTTGTTTTATTAAAAGATACTTTTTTCCCTCTGTGGTCTAAAAGAACATGTTTCTTAGAATTCTAAGATAAGACTTTTATATTCTTGACACACTTTTGCTTGACTATCCTAGAGTAGTCCATATATTCATCCTGGAGTCCATGGAAAATTGCATAAAGATTAAGTAGATATCAAAATCCACAGACGCTAAAACTGCTTTTTAAAAATAGAGAGCAGTGAGCCATTGTTTTTTTTGACATCAGTTATTTTTATTTTAAAGAAAAAAAATAAAAACAATAGTACAAAATCTCAAAACAAGATTTTAGGAGAGTAACAATGGTTAGTACATTGTGTATTGTTACTGCCAAAGTAGTTTCTCATATTACAAGATATAGGCAAGAAATAATAAAGAAACAACATAGGTACAAATCTCTTTT